GAACATATCTGTAATTTTTGGCCTAAATTCTGGATCTTGATTAACAGCTAAAAAAAAAACAGACAAGGGAATAAGTTGTAATTTTTTGCGAGATAAAGATTAAAATCAACTCATACCATCACTTGTTAATTTTTGGAATTCGATAGGCATTCTGTTATTTTCAGAAAAAGGCTCTCGATATTTCTTTTTAAGTACAAGTTCGGCTATAGTCACAATATTTTCATGATCTTGATATGGAAGTTTCATTTCAGCGATTTCCCAAAGTAAGATTCCAAAGCTATAAACCTCACATTTATGATTATATTTAAAATTCGGGGCCCTTTCCAACAATTCAGGAGCACAATAACGAGCACGTTCTATATTTTGCTTTGGGTGTTTTGGGAATCCGCTCGTGTTGCGACTTAATTTAAAATTTGCAAGTTTTGCTGTATCATTAACCGTAATTAAAATATTCTTTGATCTAATGTCACGATGTACAATCTGAAAAAAAAAAAGTGAAATCTTTCAAAAATAAATTAAACTAATTAAGCAATGATATAATTATGCTTATGTTTACCCCTACAGATCTTAGAAAATTTAATCCACGAGCAATATCAAGAGATATACGTAATTTTAAAGTTTCATCGAATCGTCTTTCATGTGCCGTATAAAATTCGCGTAAATTTCCAAATTCAGCCCATTCCGTTACCAAATATGAATTGTTTCCATCATAGGCAAGTCCATAAATTTTTATGATGTTCTGCCATACTTGAAATTCTTTAAGGATTGTAACTTGATTCCGTATGCTATCATTATCATTTTTTACAAAAGAGATGTTCTTAAATGCAAATTCTCGAGCCTCATTTTTAATATCAAGGTATCGAGTAATAAGACCATAATTACGCTGTTCATTGGTTTCTTTAAAATCTTTGAATTCTAGTGAGTGACTTCCCGTGAAAATTTTATCAATTTTATTTTGTTCGTCCAGGATTTTTTCCATCTTATTATTCATTGTATTGATTTTTAAAACCAATGACGACAACTCTCCTGTAAATTCCTTGACGTCAGTTCCAAATTCTTTGACGTTAACTCCCATTTCGGTCAGATACTACAATTATTAAATGCGATAATTAAATGTCATGTTAAATCGAATCCTGCATAGTGAGTAATGAATCTTACTTTATTTAAATCTTCTTGATCAGATTTTAATTGTTCAGCTTCGTCCTCAACACGAATTTTTTCTTTAAACAATATGGTAAAACTCAATAAATTTATCCAACTATCAAATTCTCTACATAATCTCTTAAAAGTTTTCTCAACACCTTTTGCCTTGAGATACTTTATCAAAGTATTCATTTGAGAAATTTCTTTCACGAATTTTTTAATATTTATTACAACATTAACCAAATTTTGTAAATACAAATAATTCCTATTAACGAAGAATTCTTTATTCTCATCTCTTCGAATTTTAAGATCAAATACAGCCAATCCTGCCGCACGAACTCGTTGTAATAATGCTTTGCAAGTTCGTTTATTGTGCTCGGCAGCTTGTACGATTTCAACGATTTCATTAAGCACATTTCCAATTTCGGAAATTAAAGGAACAAATTTTGCGAATGGAACTGTTGATATAGCTTCTCCGTTTGTCGCAGTTAATTTTTCCGCTGTGCAAACTATAGGTTCAACAATATCTGCAACGTCATCTAGTTTCTTTGCAAAATCTTTCATTTATATTTGAATTTTTTTTTTTTTTTTTTATTTATTTATTTTTATTTTATTTTTTTTTAAAGGGAATTATGGGAGCCAGATTCCACCCTATCTGTTATATGTTTGATAAATTGTACCATGTTACTTTTTATTCTGATAGCATTATTTGTGTGCTATTGTTTTTAAAAAAGATAAAAAAAAGACCATTGCGCCAATTATTAGGTTATTAAAGCATTTGGTAATTCCCAAAATTAAATTTTAATTATTTCATAGGACAAATGATGAAATAAAGGAATATATCCCAATAAAAAATTTGTATCCATGAATTGCGGATCATAAGGTTCAATTTCGAGTAAATAAAAAGTAATGATTTACTCTTCTCAACTTAATCTAGATACGCGCACCACCATTGATAATTATCTAATCAATTTTTTTTCCCACACCAGTCACAGGCTTTTAATATTCAAATATATATTTGCCAAAAATCCGAGAACTTAAGGAATTTTTATAATAATTGGTCACAGAGAACGAACATTCTATCTCAATTTTTTGTTTCAAAATGATGCTCATCATTGGGTTTGGGCGTCGTCCTCATGAAATTATTATGTAAATTGTTTAATTTCCAGAGTATAAGAAATCAAGGCATAATGGTGTGATTGGCTTTTAATTCAAGTTCTGGTAAAATTATGATTTCTGTATAATCTTCTACCTTTTATGATGAGTTGGCATTAGATAGAAACTAATTAAATCACTAATATTTTATGGCTTGCATAATCACCTGACTTAAATCAATTGACATCTATAGAATGTTTTGAAAAGATTCGTAAACATACTTTACATCCAAAAAATTTTTGGAAAATCAATGGTTGTTTTGAAGGAAGAATGGAACGAAATTTAATTAGAAATTTAATAAAGTATGCTAGAAAGAGTTCAAACTATAATAGATAAAAATGTGATCCAACTAAATATTCATTTTTTTTAATATTGTTAAAAGCATTGTATAAGATACTTTCACATATTGATATGACTATTAGAAATTGAGATCAGATGTAACATATTGAAGTTGTACATTTTTGTTATTTTTGTTATATAATAATTAAAGTATACATTTTTATATGTTTTTATTTTTTGATATATTTTACTAAATCATGTGATTTGTGAATTGTAAAACACTTTCAATGATTTCTGTTACCTAATAATAATTAATAAATTAATTAATACATTTAATTTTAAATGTATTTACTATTTTTAAAATAAGTTCTCGATAAATTATTATTAATAACTAGCTTGCTAACCCTCAGAGTAGATCATATGATATTACATAAATATATGAAAAAGGAAACCTATATAACTGATTTTGAGACCTCAAATTTTACTGGAAACAAAACTTCCTTTGGAAATTTGTGTAATGGTATACAATTTAATCAGTTTATTTATACAGGTAATCTAAATGTTATCGTTATACACGTTTTTTTATTATATAAGATTATACATGTAAAATTTAAGCCTTATATAGGATTTTACATAATTTATTTTGATGTTATTATCATCAAATCCAAATTTACAAATGTTTAACTTTTTTTTGAGTTTGATAGCTTTAATAAGAACTATATTAGTTTAATGCATTTTTTCACTCAATATTAAGAGAATTTATTTTACAAATTAATTTATTTATTCAAAAATCTTTATAATCAATATAATATTATTACTTTTCTTTTCTAAAATTATATTTTTTAGTTAAACATTTAATTCTAATTAATAATTTATCTTTTTTTTCAATAAGTAATTTATCTTTCTTCTTTTTTTCTTTATTATAAATTATTAAATTATCTTTTCATTCATTTTCATTATTTTATTTCTCTATATATTTCTTTTAAATGCTTAACTAAAATCCTTTTTCATTATTTTGATTCTTTTTACATTTTCTTTTTTTTTCTTTATTTTTCAATATTTCACTAATCATATTCATTATTTTTCTTAATCTATAGTAGTTATTCTAATTATTCTTCTTTTTATATTTTCATTATATTTTTCTTTTTCATCTTTCAGATTTATTATCTTTCTTTTATTCTTTATAACATTATTTCTTTTCTATTATTATATTTTTTTTTAACTATATTTTAGACCTTTTATACAACTATTTTAAAATTATCTTTTAGTTATTATTCTCATTATTTTCTTTTGATATTATTATTTTTTTTTTATATAAAAAAAATTAATTATTGATAACATATAAATATATTAACAAATATATTATCTTAATATTAAATCTTTATTTATTATATAAAATATATATAATTATATATAACTAATTGTATAGCTAAAAATTATTTCATTTTACTAGATTTTTTTTAAATTACAATATCTGAATACTAGTAATATATATAGTAATTATTTTAGCATATAAAGTTACAAAGTAAGTATTGACGCTTAATTTTAGAATCCTTAAGGTTATGGCTAGACTCAAGTTCTAATCAGAACCTGTCTATTAATACTAGTCTAAAGTTTACTATTAAGGTCAATACTTCTAAGAACTAACCATTAAGGATTCTAGAACCTCAAAACTACTATCAAATTTGAATAGAGAGAACACTTATAGCTACAGATATTTACATTATTTTTTCTCTATATTTATCAATATCAATCAGAATCACTATTATTTCTACCTAGTATCAGGATATATTATACATAATTTGAAAGACTTGAATGTTATCATTCTTATAAAACTTAGAAAATTAAGTGACTATTATACCCATATTGTCAAATTCATCTAAGAATTGAACTTAGCCTTTACCCTAATGATAGCTTAATTAGATAATACTATAACAATGTAATGCAGTCTATTATTACTATTAAAAATGATTCCCATAATTATTTTCAAATTACAACTTAATTGCGCTATAAAAAAATTTAATTATGCCATAAGTTATAGCTTAATTGTGTCATTTTTTTAATTATAATGATCATCTTTAATTACTATAATCATATAAGATACTTAAAACTCAATGTAATATCCAATCTACTAATTACTGGTTAATCACTTTCTTATTTATATAAAGACCTCTAAATTTTTAAAATGTAAGATAGTATTTATTACAGACTTATTAATCCTTATAATCAATAAATCAATTAATCAGTTACAAATATATATTAGTATATATGCTCACATATTTAGTTATATATAAAAATTCATAAGAAAATCATCTAGTTTTATGCTTTAGCTAAAACCTGAACTTATTACTATTGCAATGTAATTTATAATAGCAGTTTAATTATTATCAACTGAATTAGAGACGTTAATTTCTTATTTCATTTTACTAGATAAATTTCTATCTCTATTTATATAGATTTTATATCAATTAATTTGTAAATTATTTCTTAATTCTTATTCCTTTTATTAATTACTTATTTTTATTTTTATTATTAATATCTTTATTCTATTTCTTCTATTAATAATTCTCAATTATATTCTATTTATATTTCTTAATTATTTTTATTTTTATTTCTTATGCTTATTTTATTTTTCTTTAATATTTCTCAACATTATGTTATAGCTTTATTATTATTTTAATTAGTTTAGAACAAAGTGTAGGACTATATATAATGAAAAAATATCTCAATATCTATCCGCTCAATAATTGAGTCAATATTAATTGACTCTTGCAATTGTATAAAAGTCTAGATAAAGTTTCAGACTTAATAACATTTTCCATTTTCCTAGTATTATATTATATCTATTTTTATATTTGCTTAATATTTCTTATTATTATAAATTTAGTTTCTATATTAATTTTTATTTCTAATTCTTATTTATATCTTAATTTTATTTCTTTTTCAAATTTTTCTTCAATATTTTTATATTTCTTCTTAATTTTTTTCATTATTTTAAAGATTATATATTTATTTTTAATCTTTCAAAAGTTATATTATATTTTATTACACTTTTCTTAATATTTTTAAATATTTTTTCTTTTTTAATTATATATTATTATTATATATCTTATTATATATTCTTATAATATCATAATTATCTTTAGATATTTTTTTTTTTTCTTTATTTTCAATAATTAATTCTTTATTCCTTCATATTTTAAGTTTATATAATAAATTTTCTCTTTCTTTCATGTTTATATATATATTTGTATTCCTTTTTTATTATTTTTATTACTTTCCTTTTAGAAATATATTTTATATAAATATTATATGATTTCATTCTATTAGTTTTTTTTATATAAGTTTTTGTATAACTTATATGCAATTTATAAATTATTTTCTTTTCCTTTTCTACAATTTTAATTATTTATTTTTCAAGTTTTATGATTTATTTATAATTTATATTATATTTATACTATGTGATTTATTTTATCTCATATTATAATGATATTATTAATCATGTGATTTGTTATCATATGATTTATTTCTGTAATTATATTTTATAGTAAAAAAAACTTTTTCGCAAAATGGACAAACCTAAAAAAGAGTAATAAAGAACAAATAAAAATAACCTTCTCATTTTCACCCTGATACTTTAGAGTAACAACTAAGCAAAAGATAGAATACTTTACAAATTACTAAACCTAAAAATAGTGTTTTCACTTTAAAAACTAATGAAAAAACTCCAGTTACTATGAACATTAATCCTCTTTTGCTCGATAAAGAAAAGGGCAAAAAAGTTTAATAAATGAAATAACTGCAGTTATTACTTCTAACCAAATGGTGATAAATATTAATGATACTAATGATGCTTCTAAAAATTTTTTGACCAACAAGAAAAGCTCTCAAGAAATTTTCACCAAAAAATGAATTTTTTCATATATTTTCCTGCAGATGACTACCCCAAAAAATCCTCTTAGACCAAAATTTCTAATATTACTGATCTTATTTTTGATTAATTTAATTTATTTTCAGATGTTGCATTTACTAAACATTTAAAAGACCAATTAAAGAAAATATTAAAGATAATATTTATCAATAAAAAAGAAAGAGATGCATTTT